GGAAGTAGATTGCCCAACCTTCCTTCCGAGGAGTGGCTGGTGGGTTTGAACCGCCAGCCTTCTGGTTAGCAGTCAAGTGCTTTAGCCATTATGCTACCAGAGCTCCCGCCTAGGCACTAGTCCCTACTAAATCTATGAGCTCCCAAAACTCTTCCACAAAATTCCTTTTTGTTTACTTTCTCCAGATTTGATTTCTGTCAGCCATAAACAAAAAAGTTACCAAATACAACTGGCCTTAATACTACCCTCATCTCTTCTCCTTCTTTTGAAATTTCTAGCAATGAAGCATAGATTAGATAACAAGATCCAGTTAACACCCAGATAAATTTCCCAGATTAGCAAACTGGAATTAAGAGAATGAGGACATAGGAGTTGATACAAAATGGTAATATTTCAGTGGCACAATAATGTGAGTGTATTCATAAGACACAAAGGTTATGAGACCATGTGTCAGCTTGCAACAAGAGGTGTCAGGACTTGGACTATTGATTGATAGTTTTACCCATAATTGGGTAATAATAAATACCAAAATTATTAAAACTATTTACATTTTTACTCATAGTTGGGTAATACTAAACACTAAAACTATTTATAGTTTTACCCATAGTTGACCTTAGTGTAGCCTTCTGTCCTAATATTCTTCCTAGTTCATCAGAAATAAGGGCCACAGGGAGAGAGATATGTGGGACTCAGGGAAAAGAGTAGGAACAGGAGAAGCTACCAGCAGGCAGAAACAGAGTTGGCATTATAAACCTCCTTACATATACAGTTACACTCCAATGCTTTTATGAACATTGTCTCTCCTGCTGCTCTTGGTTCCAGTTTTACTGTTGAGAATGCTGAACTTCAGAGAGAGGACTTCCCCAAGGTTCCAAGACGGAAACTCACATCTTCTGGGTTCTCCTATAAAGAAACCAAACCCCTTCAGGAAATTTGAAGAGAGATGGAGTAAGTAATGTATTGGCAAAGGGGAACAAGTTGTAAGTGAGGGAAGACTTGTAGACCTTTAATTATTGATAGCTACTATGGAAGTTACCCACTACTCATCTGTCAGTTTGTCATACTGTGGTGGCTTGCATATGGCTATGATACTGGATGCTATGCCACCAGTATTTCCAATACAAGCAGGGGCACCCATGTTGGACAGGTTTCAGCAGAGATTCCAGACTGAAACTGACTTGGAAGAAAGCCCTAGCAATCTACTTTCTAAAATCAGCCAGAGAAAATCTTAACGCATCATGAGGATATGGTCCAATATAGTGCTGGAAGATGAGTCCTCTGGGTTGGAAGGCACTCAAAATACAGAGTAGCTGTAACAGTGGACTGGAGCATACCAATGACCCCAAAGATGGCACAGGGCCAGGCAATGTTTTGTTCTGTTATATATTAGATCATTGTGAGTAGCCGCTAACTCAACAGCAACTAAAAGCAATATTGAAGTTATTCCACTTGCTGGGTCCTGAGATGGTAAGCCCCTTCGTCTATAAAAATGATGGGGATAACGTCTGGTTGCTAGTGAGACGGGGCAGGCAGGGCAGCGAGCGCTCAATGTTTAATGAGTGAATGAGATAAAGCGTGTGATAGGATGGGCAACTTGAGAGTGGGCCTTAGTGCCCTGTAAGGTGTTTTGATTCAGTACAACAGTCAACTGCAAGCCCTGGCATAGTTAATATAAGAAGCACTAGACTAAGCTTCCTGACTTATTGGGCAACTGAAAAAAAAAAAAAAAAAAAACACACACTTTTATAGGCAAATATTTTTTCAAAGGCGAGGTCTAAAATGAAGACGATTTCCTCCGTCCAACACCCACTGTGGTAACCCTGATGGAGAACGCTTTTCTTACGCTTTGGGGTCGCTCCTTTTCCTTTTTGCCTTCACATCCCAAAATGCGTTATTGAAGTGACTCAAGGTTGCTAAAGAATAACTGCAGCTTTGAGGGGTTGCATCATTGTAAACCGGACCCAGACAGATAGGCGTCCCAGCCTTGGAGCCCCGGACGATCGCTTACTCCGAGCAGCGTCGCCCAGCGGGCAGACGCAGCGGGTGTATTCCCCGGTCTCCCTCAGACCCGCAGCGCTCGGCGCCCGCAAGCTGCCACCTCCCCAGGAGGCCAGGAGAACTCAGCCGGCTCTCTGAGACCGGGACCGCGGTCGAGTGGGCACCGCTATTGGCTGGCAGGGCGACGGAGGAGGGGAGCGGACGCCGTGATTGGCGGGGGCCCAGCCGGAGGGGGCGGTGCCGCTATATCAGAGGAGTCCTTGTCACGGCGGAGGCAGTTGGGTTGCTTGAGTGCCGCGCCGCCGCGGAGTTCCGGGCAGAGCGGCGGGCGGGTGGTGGGGAGAGAGCGGTGGCCGCGAGGCGCAGGGGAAGGTCTGCAGGGCTCCAGCCTCCCGAAGAGAGCCTTTGCCTAGCCCGGGGCTAGGTCTGAGCTGTGGCGAGGCGACAGCGCCGAGCACACCAAAGAGGAGGCGGCAGCGGCGGCCCCAGCCATGCTGTGCTATGTGACGAGACCGGACGCGGTGCTGATGGAGGTGGAGGTGGAGGCGAAAGCCAACGGCGAGGACTGCCTCAACCAGGTAAGGGTGAAGGGCCAGGCTGAGGGACCCGTGCACCGGCCGGTCCCCGAGGCCCAGGGGCCTCGCAGCGGCTCCGGACGACTGAAACAGCGACAGTGCTGCCGCGGAGCCCGGGGGAGCGCGCCCCAGGCGCCCAGCCGCCTCCTCTCCACCCGCTTAGGGCGCGTGGGGCCTCCCGACACTCCGGGTGTGGGGCCGCGGAGGATGTGCGCTCGGGACTCAGGGCGCCGGGGGCGCCGGCACAGCCTAGGAGCTGGGGTCAGCCACCCTACCCCTAGCCAGGCACTCTCCCAGAAAGCAGTGGCCAACACACCTGCCGCAGGTGTATGTGTGTATGTGTGAGAGAGAGAGACAGTGTATGCGTGAGTGTGAGTGAGATGCAGCCTGTCGGGTCCTTGCGGCATGGGACCGCTCGGGTTGCTTGGTGGACGAGTCGGCCCTTGTCTGCTTCTCTGTTTCTCAAATGGACGGTTAACCTGCATCTCGGGATTTGCAAATCGAGAGGACTTAATTTTGGTAATCTACTCCCTGATTGTCTCTAAGCACGCATTTTCTGCAGAGTGAACAACAGAGCATAGTTGGTATGGCAGACAGCTTATTTGATACCCAGTGAAACGCTTGCTCTTCCCCCGCCCCCAGACTTGAGATGTTTGGGGAACCTCTTGTGAATATTAGCCGACACTTGTGGCGTGTTTCCTTAGTGTGTTTGTGTTTTTGGAGTCCAGATGGTTAAAATTGCCCAGAGAGTAAACTGCCAAATCAGATGTACTGATTGTACTGGTGGAGGGAATGCCAATGACTGGAATAATAAGGAAAATGCTTCGTAGAGTTCCCTCCTCAGCCTCTCTCTGTAAGACTACTTTTCAGGACTCCTTTTTCAGTAGGTGTCATTGGCCGTGCCCTAAGACTGAAAGGAAGGACAAGCTTCCAAATTACAACTAATGGTTTAGTTAGCATCACTCATTTTTCCAGCTTACAACAAAAAGTTAACACTCTTGAACTTCATATGGTATTCGAATGCAGATGCCTTTGGCCAGCTTTGACTGTATGTTGTACCATTTGCTTATCAATGCTGCATTCATTTTTGTTCCAGGTGTGTAGGCGATTGGGAATCATAGAAGTTGATTATTTTGGACTGCAGTTTACTGGTAGCAAAGGTGAAAGTTTATGGCTAAATCTGAGAAACCGGATCTCCCAGCAGATGGATGGGCTAGCCCCTTACCGGCTTAAACTGAGAGTCAAGTTCTTTGTGGAGCCTCATCTCATCTTACAGGAGCAGACTAGGTAACCAAAAACCAAACCCATTGCTGTCGAGTTGATTCTGACTAGGTAAAGTGATGCTAAAAGAAACCTTTGATTCCATTTAGAGAACACTATTGGATCTTCCCTAAGATGTTCAAAAGCATACTTGGGAGTTGGTTTGTAACTTACAAATTTTCCATGCTACAGCCCTTCTTTGAGTTGAAGAGAGAACTACATAGTTCGCCTAGGGAACATTTTCCAACTCTTTTTGGTTTTGTGGACTTAATGGAAGAGCAGGGTTAAAATATTTAAAACACTTTCAATGAGTGCCACAGTGCAAAACAAAGCAAAAGAACTCAACGAAAAACAAAACAAAAAACCCAGACTTCCTGATGGCGGAGAAGTCTTCCCATTAAGTGTGTAAATGCCTGATAGTAACCTCTGCTTCAGCAGTGTTACTATAGGTCATTTATAGACTGTTCTAACCAGAGCAGGAAATAGTTCCTCTTTGGTTACTCAAACTTGGTCAACTTCTTCAGCCTAGTGTCAGATTACAATGTGTAGCAATGAGCTCTGTCTGACTTTAGGCAGAATTTTTAGTTTCTTGAAAACTTAATAAAAACTTCTGAGGCCAATGTAGCCGCATTCCAACCCACAGATATATTACACAAGATTGCTGAGTTTACATTGCTGAATTTATATCTTTACATTCTGAAAAACGACCAGTAGTGGTAGATAAACATGTGGTTTTGTTTTTCAAACAGAAAATGTTTTCTCCCCGGGACTGGTGGTAATAATTTTTCTCCAAGATGAGCCCAACGAGGCAACTGGTGTTTAATATTTATTTCTGAAATACAGGAGTGTAAAATCCTACAGTGGCATAAGGAAAATGACTGCTTTTAAACTCCACAAACTTTGGGTCTAAAACTAATGTTTTTCATAATTCTTGGAATTATACCATGCACATGAAAAATGTGAGTGTGAAAATTTTGAGTAATGTTATGTGAACAGTATCTGTTAGTTTTTAACATGTTATTTTTATTTATTTGTTTACTAAAATACTGAAAGAAGCATTGTTTTTGTAACATTCATTATTTAAATTTAACATCTGCTTTGCCTTGTTATGGGAGCTCTGCTGGTGTAGTGCCTAAGGTATTTGACTGCTAACCAGAAGGCTGGTGGTTCAAACCCACCAGCCACTCCTCGGAAGGAAGATTGGGCAATCTACTTCCATATATATATACATACATATGTGTGTGTGTGTATGTTAGGAGCTCTGGTAGCATATAATGCCTAAGGCACTTGACTATTAACCAGAAGTCTGGCGGTTCAAACCCACCAGCCACTCCTTGGAAGGAAGGTTGGGCAATCTACTTCCGTAGTGATACTTCTTTGGAAACTATGAGTCAGGTCCGACTCCAAGGCAGATAACAACAACAACATATATATGTTGAGTTAAATAAAACATGCTATTAGAACTAATTTCACCAGGTCATTTTTATCTTTTTAATGTGGCTGCTAGAAAATTTTAAACTCTGTATGTGGCTTAAAGAGCCCTGGTGGTACAGTGGTTAAGTGCTTGGCTGCTAACTGAAGAGTTGACGGTTGGAACTCATCAGCCATTCCATAGGAGAAGGGTGTACAGTCTGCTTCTGTAAAGATTTACAGCCTTAGAAACATATAGGGCATTTCTACTCTGTCCTATGGGGTTATTATGGGTAGGAATTGAATCAACAACACTGAGTTTGGATTTTTCAGTTTTATATATATGGCTTATATCTATTATAGGAGCTGTGGTGGTGTAGTGCCTGAGGCATTTGATGGCTAACTAGAAGGCTGGTGATTCAAACCCACCAGCCACTCCTCAGAAGGAAGATTGGGCAATCTACTTCTGTAGTGATACCACCTCAGAAACCCAAGGAGGGGTCACTATG